CTCTTGGAGAAGCACAGGCTGGCCTGGAGGCTGGGCTGGTCACTCTGAGTGAACCTTCTGGCCCAGACAGCAATAACTCCACAGTCAGGAGAAAGCGGAATTATAGTGAAGGACCAGGACTCTCTCTGCTTCCCTGTACCATTCTTCAAGGAAGCCAGGTGTGGTGGTTCACACCTGTAATCTCAGCTAGACAAGAGCCTGCGATCAGGAGGATGGTGGTTCAAGGCCAGTCTGGGCAAAAAGTTATCAAGATCCTATTTCAGCAAACAAGTTGAGTATGGTGGTAAACTTCTTTAATCCCAGCTAGGCTAGACAGGAGGCAAAGTAGGAGGATCACAATCTGAAGCCAACCCCAGGCAAAAAAGCATAAGATCTTATCTAAAAGATAACTAAAGCAAAAAGGGCTAGGGGCGTGGCTCAAGTGGTGGAACACCTGCCTAGCAAGAGTGAGGCCCTGAGTTCAAACCTCAGTACCACCAAAAAAAAAAAAAAAGGCTACCCATGGAGCCAGTTGGGCATGTGCAATGAGTTAGCCTCTCTATGCCTCAGCTTCCTCATCCTTACGAACGAGAAAAGTGATTGCACCTGCATCATGGACGATAGACGTGAGTACACCTGGAAAGTGTTTCAACAGTGCCTGACACGAAGCAAGAACTCCACAAACAAATACTGGATATTGTTGTTTATGATGACGGTAAAGGCCATTTGCCAGAGGGTAGGAGAGGTGACCAGGAAAGACCTTCAGATAAACTGGATTAAAGAGAATTTGGGTGATGAGTAGGGTGAAGAGGGACTTTTTTTTTTTTTAAATCCACAATAATCTTTTGGCACAGCTGTTGGATCCTTTGCATCTAGAACAATCTGGAGATCTTGGACCAGGACCTTCCTAGCAGGGAGGCCACTCTAAAGTCCTGGGGCTTGCAAGATGAAGGTCCTAATGTTGATAGATGAGGTACCACAGCCCAGAAGATCCCCTGTGCAATCCAGAAACCTCTCAAATATACAAATGAAGTCACTAGGGGTACAGAGAGTTTACACAACTTGTCCAGGATCACACAGCTGGGCCTGGACTTGAAAAAGCATAAGTTCTAATTCCAAACTCATTTTCCTAACTGTCGTGCCATACTGCTTCTTCAACGTGGCTGACTTCAGAGCCCATTCCCCCTCCACCACAATGCCACACAGCTGGCCAGGCTGTCAGCATTCTGACCCTCTTCCTGCTACCCTCTGACCCACTTTATATTGCAAAACTCTTTGCCCTCTCTGGGCCTCAGTTTCTTCTTCTGTTTGAGTTAGACCACAGGCTTTTCCACTGTCACAGATCAGGCAGAGTCGGAGGGCACCCCCCCAGCCCCAAGAAATCCAGGTCTGTTACCCTTATTAGATGCTGGGGGTAAGGAGATGGGATGTCCCAGGGGAGTCATTACCACAAATGAAGGTGGTCAGGGTACCCATAATGAAGGGCCCACGCCCTGACTGCTTGCACATAAGGCAGCAGCAAGAAGACTTTCTTGCCTGCCCCCGCCATGGTCTGGGTCTGTCATCAAATGCTCAGGCATACAGAACCAATTGTCTGCTGGGTAGACCCAGACACCTATATCCCAAGATGCCCAAAGCTGGACTCTTCTTCCTCCTCCTCAGAATCCCAGGCTGCTTTCTTACTAAGCAACACCACCAGCAGCTCTGTCCCCCAACTACAGAGCCCAAGTACTAGCCTGTATTCCTCTCACCTCCCCAGGCTCCATCCCCATCCCTGCATGAAGTTGGTCACCAAGTCTCACCAGCCCACTTCCTGTCTCTCAACACCACCCTCCAGCTCCAGGGCCTTCATTCTAGTTTCTGCCAGGATGACTTCAGTGGCCTTGTGTCCCTTTCCCTGCCTGTCTCATGTGCCACACTCTGACCTCTAACCTTGCCTCTAGATCATGGCTCCCCCACCCAGAACCCTCTTCCTGCTGCCTTCTGTAACACGCACACACACACACACACACACACACTTCCACCCTCACCCAGGGCCTGCTGCATCACTGGGATGATCCAAGGCAAGTGAAAATGTGTGACCCCTTATTCTAAAAGTGCTGATAAAGGTACTAGAACACAAAGCGTTTTGCTGTTTTCAGTGTACTTCTCAACCTGTCACACATTGTTTAATTGTCAACTGAATGTTGTGTGAGTAGGGTAGACTGAGGTAGGCACCTGTGAGTTGAAGGCAGACCCCTTTCAGGCCCTGCTCCCAACCCCTCCCCCACTACCCTCACCATCTGATAGCTGACATCTGCTGCCCTGGCCAGAGGTAAAGAGAAGCCAGGCAGCTCCCCTTCACACAGACCCACCAGGGCAACCGACTGTGGACAGGCAAAACCCAAAGACCTTGTGACCTCCATTCCGGGAGACAAGGAGTACTGGACTTTAAAGGCTTAGCTTTGCAGAGCTACAAACTGAATGGCAGTGACATGGCTAGCCCAGTGTGGGGACAGCCACAGCTATGCCCTTCCCTGAGACACCTAAAGGGCTCATGTGCCAATCCCAACCATCTCCATTCCCGCCCTGGCTGCCTGTCAGGGGCCAGGGCATTGGCGTGAGGCTGTCCTTTGAGGCAGGAAGGTAGCAACAGGTGAACCCATGTGTGAGCCATGTCTCCAAGCTCCCAATGCCTGTGGCATAGTTCCAATGGACTTTGCTTTCAAAACATAAACTCAAAGATAAAATTAATTAAAATTTCAATATCAGGACCATGGAGCATTAAACCCCAAGTATGGAGCCATGAACAGGTCAGATACCACCAAGCTGTCCCTGTCCTTCTCTTTCAGGTATGTAAGGTTAACATCCCATTCTTTGGGAACCTTCCCGTTCCCAAACCAGCTTAGGTGCTCTTCCAGGAGCTAGCAGAGTGTCCCCAACCTCACATACTGCCCATTTCATCTTAACTTCCTATATAATTAATTTAATTGTAATTACTTGTTTGATTGATTGAATTAAGGTTTCTTAAAGATGGAAACTACGTCTACTTGGTTCTCAATTATATTTCTAATATATGCTAAGGATATGCTAACTAAATATGTATTTGTAAAACGAATGAGAAAGTTAATTCAGAATTGGTCCTAAAGAAGGCCTTCCTTTGGCAAAAAACTGGATTATTTTGGATAACTGAAAAGTTCCCAACCTTCCTCAAATACCTACAAAGTAGCCAATAGAGTGAGGAGAGATAAATTCTCCATCTCCCTTCCTCCTGCTCTGTCCTCATGTGTCACTGTTGATGGGTGCTGTGGAAATGAATATGTAGACAAGAGGGAATGAGGAGCCTCAGGCAGAAGCTGCTGTGTGACCTTAAATATGGTCTGCTCTGTCTGGGTTTCACAGAAAAGGGGTCTCCCATCTCCATGGGAGTCACCTGACTTATCAGGTGACACTGACCACTTTGGAAAGGTTGTGGGTCAGCTTTCCCTCTCCCAGGGAACTCACCATCCTGTCTCTTTGAATTCTAGACCTAACTGGAGGCTCAGAAGCTCCCACCCACAGACTAAAGGGAAACACTCATAGGACCATTTGAAAAATCTGAGGCAGCCATTTTGTTTCAAGATGGAAGATGATGTAATCATTTAAGTGTAATTGAATATCCTCCAAGGAAAGCAGAGTTTCTTGCAAAAGCAGTCAACTTCTTTAAAAGTGCATGTGGAACCTAAGTCCCAAAATATGAAATCCTAAATAGAGGGGTGAACCCAGAGCCCTCCCTAAATTCTGAGACTTGGGGAAACCGAGCCTTTTTGAGGCTTCCCTGCCAGCATAGGCCACATCATCCCTGGCTTCCTTTGGTCTTTCTACCTTGGGAGTTCGGCTTTTTCACTATAGCAGCACACATTCAGAATCCCAGCTTCTCCCCTCAAGATAGACCAGCATAAAGAGAGGTAGAAAGAAGAACCTTTCTTTCCAGCTCACTGGTGGGCCTCCTCCTGCCCCACCCCTATAGTTTCCCTGTGCAGAGAAAAGACCTGTTGAAACAGTGGTCCACTGATCTGGAGTTTGTTTCTGCAGAGCTGGGGATCGAACCTACCACCTACGGCATGCTTACACAAGTACTCTACCACTGAGCCATATCCCCAGCCCGCTGTTTCTCAGAGGACTTCCGCTGCAAGTTCCCAGGCTGGTAGAGAAGCAGGTTACAAAGCCAGAGAGACCTGAGCGTGAGGCTCCAACACAAGAGTTGGGTGGGGGTGACTCTGGGCAAGGTACCAAAACTTCTCCACGCCTCAGTCTGCTTGTCTTACTTATGCCATATGTCATGGAGATTCAATAGGACAGTAGTGCACACTGGCACAGGGCCAGGCGGAGATCAAGAACTTAATAAATATTACCTTAAAATTATTATTAACCACTGAGTAAGTAAGTCCCTTCACCACTCTAGGCCTCAGGTTCTTTCTGCATCAAGCAAAATGAGATGGGGAAGAGGAAGGACCACCCAGTTCTTGAAAATCCCCTCCAGCTCTGGCACTGGATGACTCCCTGTCTGTGTTACTGGTGAATGGAGCAGGGAGAAAGGGGCATCGCAAAATTGTAAAGCATGCTCCTGCAGATTCCTGCATCAGATGCTCCCATTAGGCAAGCTCAGTGGGAGCCAGGTTCTTCTGCTTTCTATCCAGGGAGAAGAATTAGTATACAACCTCTCTGGCTCATGGATGCTCTGATAGGAGCTCAGTTTCCCCATTTGTCAAGTGGGACTACTCTATGGGGTTACTGGGAGGACGTCATAGATTTACTCCTTTGGGGTGCTTGGCACAGTGCCTGGACACACAGTGAGTACTTGCTCAATGCTGGTCAATGATGTCACAGAGTCTGCAATGAGCAGGTTTTATCCTGCTCAGCTCTAGAGTCACCAGCAGCCCTGCAGGGCATGGGACAGCAAAGTCTGCATTCTCTGGGAGTTGAATTGCCAGCACTGCCCACCAGAACAGAGTTCTCCAAGGGTGTCCCCAGCCTTGGAGGGGACAGGAGGACCATCTTACCAGGCCGAGGTTCAGAGCATTGTTGTCATCTTCAGGCATGGGCAGGTACACGGCCAGGGCCACGCAGTTGGCAAAGATTGTAAGCAAGATGATGGTCTCGAAGGGTCTGGTACCAGGGTTAAGGAGAGCCCCTGAGCAAGCTGTGAGGTTCGCTGGGCTGAGGTGAAGGGAGGCTGAGGGCCAGCCTGGACTGTGACTGTCATTCCGGGGGTGGCAGCGGGGATTGGGCAACCTTGTGATGCTCTTTCCTTACTTTCCTGAATTTCTGGCCCAGGAATCTGGCACCCTGTCCTCTGGAATAGGTAACTTCCACTTAGACTCTTGGCACTGCCAAAGGCTGGTACCTGGAGCTTTAAGGTCTCTGTGTCACTCCACTCTGAGTGCCTGCCCACCTCTCCCCTTCCCAAAGAGCCCTGGCTTTCTGAAATTCTGGCAATACCACCTGCAGGGCTCACTAGGATAAATGCCAGGGAGGTTGGGAGACTGATGTGGATTTGTGCCAAATACCCTCCAAAGCAGGGCTGGGAAAGGGCAGATAGGGAGATGAATGGTGGATTTTCAGAACTGTGTGCCACACTGGGGTACACAGGCTTGCACCCACTCACACCCTCTCCCAGACACACCCACTTTCCAAGGCCATTTCCAGAGCATCCCCTGGGCAGTGCCTTTCTTGCTTGCTGGTCCACTAGAAAGCAACTATGTGGGAGGAGTGAAGAGAAACAGAGAGATGTGTGAGACATTGGTGTGTAGTTTGGCTAGCAGAGTGGGAGACATGCTATGTACACAGGCTTGTTTGGAAAATACCATCCTTCCCAGTAGCCTCCAGCGTTTGAGAAGAGGAGGGATAAAGGGCAGAAGCTGCAAGAGGCGACGACTCAGAGGAGCAGAGAACGGAGAAAAGGGAGAGGCTGCCAGGCAAACCCACTCTGACAGTAGATGGGCTGGGGGGTGATGTGGCCTGGCCCAGTGCTGTGTGGGGCACAGGGCTGACCTCGATCCCACAGTCTCCATGTGGCCCCATGTCTCTCTCACCCTTCCAGCTATCCCTTATTCTCCTTTTCTCCCAAGGAACAGCTGGTGGGAGCCCACGCTGCCAGAGCCCTTCAGAAATATTTCAAATATGCCTGACTCTCTCTCAGAACCCACTTGACACAGGCCTCCTCTCCTGTCTGAAGCTCCTTCCTCCTGTCCCCAAATAACCCAGATATTTTCATCATTCTTTCTCCCAGAACCCAGGCCAACAGAAAGGCCTGTGTCCCTGGCCCCAGGGCACCATGTCTGGCTAAAACAGCCGGGTTTGCTTGCCTGAGTCCTGGAGCAGCAAAGAGCAGGCTGTTCCTCACCCCATTTATCCTTTACTTCATATGCAGTGAGGATTGGCTGGCAGGCAGTGGAAGCCTTCCCTCAACTGCCACACTCTTCACTTCCACCCCTTTCATCCAGGGGGAGATTTTCTGGAAGAGGTCTCTGCTACTCTCTACCACTGTATTCCCAAACAGGACCATTGTTTCAAAACCCCAAGCGGTGCCCCACGATGTTGTGGACTTGGAACAGCTGAAAACAGTCCCCAGGAACAAAGGCCCCTACCACGAATGGTCAATAGTCTCTCTGTTGCCTAGGACCTGGGTGGCCCATTCAGATCCCAGGAAGCCACTCCAACTCCTGCCTTGTCACCAGTGTGGTGAAGGCCTCCTTCCTTCCCAAAGGTTCTTCATAGTACACTTCTGAAAGGTGCTTCCCCCGATCCCAAGTCTCCAGTCACCTGAGCTGTGTGACCACCCGCGCCCCTCCCCACCCCCCACCCTGGCCCCACCACCCGGGCCCTGAAGGATACTTCCATTCCACGATGCTGATGCAGGCCTTCCTCAGGGGGTTCTGGAGGGTCAGGCAGAACAAGGCCCGGGGTGGCCTTGGCAGAAGCTCAGGCACAGGCTTCTTGGGCTGCTTTTTCCTCAGTCCCTCGTCCTGGGGTGAGGACGGCTCCATGGCTTCCCTGGCAACCTTGCTCTTCCCTGCTCCCCCACCCCACTGCCCTCTCCTCCCTGCGTCCCCAATGCCCCCCGCCTTGGGGACTGGGCCTAGTTGAGCCTGTCCCGCTGAGGCAGCCAGGCGGGGGCGGGTGTGGGGACAGGAAGATTACACTGCTTGCTCCCAGCAAGTAAAATTAGCTTCCACTCCCCTCCTGCAGCCTGGCCTGAGCTCCTGAGGCCAGACAGCTGTCATTCCTTCCATCCTAGCCAGTGACATCCCAATCCATCCGGGGAGAAGACTAGGGTGGGGGGAGGAACTTACACCCAGGCCTGAAACCAAGCAGGGGCAGTGGGAGATAGCACAGGTTTCAGGGCTGGGGGGCAAGTTCAGGAAGGTGGAGCCTGAGGCATGGAGCCTCACATCACACTGGGGTTAGGTTCTTCCAGCCCAGCCCCATGACACTGTCCAGAGAAGGTGATGGACACCCTAGCTAGCTCAGCACATCACACCCCCACCCTCCATCACAGTACTGCAGAGATCAGACAAGATTCTTTCCACCATCACCCAGACCAGGCCTGCCTCCTGTTGGGGAAACACTGGTCCCCCTCCCAGGACAACTTTGAATGGGCACACCTCTGGCACAGCACCTGCTACACTGTGAAGTGATCCTGTGCTTGTATTTTTCTTCCCCACCCCCTCCTGCCTGGAAAAGTGCAAGGATTGTGGGTTTTCTCTGAAACTCAGGCTCCTCCTGCACACAGTCCCCAGCTGCAGAAGTAATGGAACACCTTGCAGCAAGTGTTCTGAGCTGGAGGGTGAGTGAGATGGGGTGTGCTGAGGTCGGACAACGATCTAGGGAAGCACAAAACGTAGCAATCCATTTATTTAGCCCTTGGTGCAAGCACAGAGTCAATGGACCCCCGAGTCTTACAAATCTTAGGGGAAAAATCATGCAGTCCTCACCTAACCTGGGTAAACCTAAGAAGGCCACACTGAGGGATGAGGGGAAAGGTAGGTGACCCCTCCTCCATTGAGCAAGCCAAAGAAATCCGCCAGGGCACACACACCCGGCCTCCTTCTAAGTTCCATCCGCGCTGAGTGCAGGCAGCAGTCTGGCCTCACATTTGTCCCTCTAGGTTCTTCTCGCCAGAGCAGGAAAGCTCCCAGAAATCGCTAGTATTTGAGGCCATCTGGTGGAGGGCCGGGACATCACGCATCCGAATCAAAGTGCGGCTCCCTTCTAGGGGACTCGCTTCGTTGAGGCAGTGGAGGACTGAGAACCACCAGGGACCGGCTGGGATCCGACTTCCCCCAAGGCAGAGCTGAGGCAGAGCGCGAGACAAACCCAGAGATGACCGTCCTGGGTTGTCCTTTGCATCCTGGAGCGGGCGCTTCACAACGGGCGCTGTCCCAGGTCCGGTCCCTCCCTGCACCCACGGGTCTCCTCGGGTCTCTACCGTGCCTTTAGCACCCCTGCCCTCTCCCCCACCTCAAGCTGGTGGAGATGGGATGCCGCGGATCTGAGTCTCACGGACCCACCCCGCACCACCAGTGAGTGACCCAGCAGCACCCACGTTGCTCCCGAGGATGGAACATGGCCTGCGATCCCCCGAACCCCGGGAGGCCTTCGTCCAAATCAATGGCTGGACTCCTCCGATTCGAAGAAAGGCGAGGAGGAGAAGCAGGAGGACTCGGACGTCTCGGGCACCAGGGCGGGAGGCGCGCGGGCTTCACCGTGGCCGGCGGGACAGTCGGGTTGGGGGCCTGCGGGCGGCGCGGAGGTGGCGGCGGAAGGCGCGCCATCTGGGGCTGCGCTCAGCAGCTCCTGCAGGTATTTGATGTAGCGGATGGCGGCGCGCAGCGTCTCCACCTTGCTGAGCCGCTTCTCCGCCAGGGCGCCGGGGAGGTGGCCGCGGAGGCGCGCGTAGCCCTCGTTCACGCACTTGACGCGCTGCCGCTCGCGCTCGTTGCGCTTCTGGATGAAGGCGGGCTCGAACGGGTAGTCGTAGACCCCGAAGGCGCCGGGGAAGGGCACGTAGGGGAACACCCCAGCGTAGGCATCGTAGTATGGGGGATCGGCGGGGCCGGGGTACAGCAGGAAGGGCACGTTGCCCAGGGGGTCGGCGGCGGGCAGTGGCCCCTGCCTGGGAGCGGATATGACGCCCAGCTGCACGCATGGGGAGCTGCTGGGGCTCCCCATGGGCCTGCGGTCCACCAGGGCCCGGCAGAAGTTATTGTTCATGGTGTTTCGTGGACCTGGACCCAGAGTGGGACCCTCACCCAATGGCCCCTGCTGGGATCTGCACCGTCCTGACCACGGGGGCAAGTCACATCGCCAGCAGCATCTCTGGGGCACCAGGAGTTGCTAGGGTTTCTCTTTTGCCTTTTGGGGTGGCTTCTGGGGGTTCCCTAAAGCGAGCCATAGTTGTGGTCGAGAGTGGCCCCTCGCAGAGGCTCCGCGACTACCTTTTCCATTCTAGCTCGTGGTGCCACGGATCTCCACGGGCCCTCTCCTTCCTCCATGGCACCCGTGGGCCACGCGCCCGGCCTGCAGCCCAGCATGAGCACCTCCCCCTGGTGCTAGCCCCGAGCCTCCATGCCAGGATGCTCCCGTGCCTGGTTCTTGTCCTCGCAGCCTTGGGGATCCTCAGGCTCGCTGGAGGGTCCGAAATGATGATTGCTTTTTGGAGTGTGCCAGCTCAGGAGGGGGAGTCCTGGGAACGATTCTAAAAAAGAGGAGAGTGAAGCCAGTGAGGAAAGACCTGTATTATGGGCTTCTGTGCGTCACTTTTACCCTCAGAAGTGATTGCATCATGAAGGAAGGCAGTATGACTTTGGGAGAAGTGTAGATAGGAGTCAAATCTTGTTTTTATCTCTTAAAACGAGGTAAGCTCTTTGACATTTTTTTGTTTTGTTTATTGTTCTTTTCTGGTACCGGAATTTGAACTCAGGGCCCTGAGCTTGCTAAGCAGGTACCCTACCACTTGAGCCACTCCTCCAGCCCAGGGGCTGATGTCTTTGAGTCATTGCTTCTGTATATGGAGACATTGAAAATATCCTTCACAGGAAGTTAATAAGATGGGAGAGTTGTAATCCTAGCTACTTGGGAGGTTGAGATCAGGAGGATTGTCGTTTGAGGCCAGTCTAGGCAAATAGTTCAAGGGACCCCCATTTCCAAAACAACCAGAGCAAAATGAACTGGAGGAGTGGCTCAAGCGGTAGGAGTGCCTGCTTGGCCAGCGCGAAGACCTGTTTTCAAACCCAGTCCCACCAAAAAAGGAAAAGAAAGACAGGAGAATCAAATGAGAAAAAAAATCCCCAAACACCTCCTACCTGGCCTGGCCTGGCTGATAAAAATGCCAGGGATCATTATTAGGCATTTGATGAGATCAAGTACAAAAATGCCCCAGGTGCCTGCCCCAGTCCCTGGGTCCAGAATATACCAACTCACTCCATCCTGGCTTTCTTCATGGCTCCCAGCCAGTCCCTGACGTGTAATAGATGCTCCATTGATCCTTGTTGAATAACTGACAGAGAGGATTAGGCTAGGCTTGTTGGGGTGGGGCTTAATTACATGTAGCCTTCCCCAGGCTTTAGGAGGCTGTTATTTCAGAAATAATTGGTCTGTGTTGAGTTTAAGTGCCACCAAGTCTCGTCGCCTGTGGTTATCAGATCCGAGCTAAGTGTCGTTTTTTCTAGGAAGCCTCTCTAATCCTGCTCCTCCTCTAGTGCGTGTCCACGGTGTTCCTAAATGACAACTTAGCACTCCTCACACTATTTTTGTTTTCACTTCATGGAAAATGGCTCAGGGTTTACCAAATGAGTGAGTGAGCTGGGGCTGCATCCCATGTGAGAATCATGGGACCCTGTGAGGTTTTGGACAAGGGGCAAGGCTTGTCCACAAGACAGGAAGGGACCTCTCCCTCCCAGACAGGGATGTCTGTGGTAAACTCAGACTCCGCAGTATCTCTTGAGCCTTTCCACCTTTGTCCTTTTTGTAAGCCTTGAGTCTGTTCCCGGCCAGCTGGCCAGCTTTGTCCTCTACACTGAATGAGAGCAAACAACAAAACTAAACAAAAAACCAGGGATTGAAAGCATCATGGTGAGCTGGCAGAGTGGCTCAAGTGGTAGAGAGCCTGCCTAGCAAGCGTGAGGTCCTGAGTTCAAACCCTAGTGCCACCAAAAAAAAAAAAAAAAGCTGGAAAGCATCATGGCTTACAGTTGCTCTCAAGTGGAAGCAAATGTATGAGACGTTGGGACTAATTCATAGGTCCTCCCTCCCTTCTCGGCAGTGTTTCAGGGGTCCCCAAAAAAGTTCTAGAAAAGTTTCTCTCCCAAACAGACTCTCAGCTCTATCAGGACTGCCTCCCCCTGACTCACTCTGACTCACACCCTGGCTGACATCTACTATGGTCTCGGACCCTCTGTACACCTCACTGTTTTGCCATCCCTGCTGTCCATAAGGGAGGGCTCAGATCCAGCTCTGCCCACACTTGCTGGAGCTTTCCATCTCTCCACTCCCCAGGCTTCAAAGCTGGGCATTCGGAGACTTCACCCCGATTGTGAGCATCTAGCAGCACTAGGCTTTTTCTTTCACAGGTAATCCCCAAGCCCTCCCTCAGCCAGGCACAAAAAGAGTCCCCAAGAGCTGTACTAGCAGGACCCCCCCCACACACAAGATCCCTATCTATTAGTTGATTCAGTTATTTAAATTCGATCTGATAGAGGTCAGAAGTTCATTTATATTAATTATAATTTTAATAAATTCAACTTAATTTCTGCTCATATGGATTCAATATCCACAATCTTTTCATTTTTAAAGAAGTAACTTGTATACTATTTATATTTTTTTCATAGAACTGTTCAGAAAAGTGACTCAAACAAGAAACCTCACAGCAGGGCCATGTGTTTCTTTAGGTAGTTCTAGCTTTACTGTGAGGACAGATAACCAGCCAGGGAACATAGGTGAGGACACACCTGTGGGGAGTTGTGCTCTTCTCTGTCACACAACCTCTACCCCATACCAAGAATGGAGCAGCACCGTGTAGCCAGATATCATTCAGTGCACTGACATTCATTCAGTAATTTACTGAGGCCCTTCTGTATGCAGGGACTGTTCCAGCTACTAGGCTACAACAATCAACAAACATTGTAGTAAAATAACAGTATAGCTATTGTTTGGATTTTTTTGTTTGTTTGTGAGACTGGGGTTTGAACTCAGGACATCAAGCTTGCTAGGCAGCCAGCCATCCGCCAGCCCTGTTTTGGGTTGGCTGTTTTGAGATAGGGTCTCACAAACTATCTACCTTGGCTGGGTTTGAACCATCACCCTCTTGATTTCTGCCTCCTGAGTGGCTAGGATTACAGGTGTGAGCACCAGTGCCCGGCTTAGCTATTGTTTATTGTTTATTATGTGCAAGACATTGTGCTAAGTGCTGTGTGAATGGTCTCACTGAGTTATCATGCCATTCTTACAAGGTAGTTGATAACATGACTCAGTTTCACAGGTGAGAAAACAGGTACACAAAGACTGAGTCCTAGCCCACGTCCCACGGTTAGTAATCATGAACTAAAATGTGAATTAACCATACTCAGTCTCTCCCTCTGCCCCAGTATTTCTCCTGGAGGCTTTGCCCCTGTGGACTAAAATTTTAGTGCTGGCGTTTAGCTTCTGTTCTGATGGGAGAGGTACTACAGGTCACCTTGGGCATCCTTGGGAAGATGTTCTTTCCAGGGTGGCCCATGGAGTTTTGTTGCTGGGAACACTACTGGGCCAAACACCAGGAACTTACCTGGAGCCTGTTGAACCTAGAACACAAGAGCAGAGGCCTAGAACAGGATCTGCTAGCAGCAGAGAACCTGCTCATGAGCTCCGTTCACTAGGCTGGCTTGGAACCAGCGATCAACAGTGCCACAGTGTGGCGGCTAGAAGAAATGAAATAGCAGATGAGTAAAATTCCAGGTCCTGGCCCCATGGGTGTGAAAGTTATAACTCCCTCTTAAAGCTGGGAACTGTGAGTCCCAGGTCTTTTGGAAACTTGGGGGTAAGAGAAGAACCCCCCTCAAAGAAAAGTTACTGGGTCTTCCATCAACATCTCCTAATTTCCTCCTGGAGTGTGTAAAGCAATTTGCATTACTTAAACTTTCATTATAAACAGATATGTATAATTAAATGTATTTTGTTATTTGGTTTGAATAAAAAATAGCACATTGTATCAGCATTAGGCAACTTACTAGATAAATCTGTCCTGGTTTCTTTTTTGGCTGTACTGGGGCTTGAACTCAGGGCCTCACACTTGCTAGGCAGGAGCTCTACCCCTTGAGCCATTCTGCCAGCAATAAATCTGTTCTGAAGTAGTGTGTGAGCGCCATACTCCACATGTATTAGCTTTTGAGACATAGTTGAGGTAACTCATGGCTTCTCAAGTAGCCATAGTCTATAAATTCTGGAAATGCTATTTCCTTTCTAAGGGGGCTTGGTTCCTCTCCAGGACTGGGGACAGCTCACCAGCTCCACTCCAAGCTTGTCTGCTTTGCCCTGGGAAGCGGCAGAGCAGATGTGCTTAGCAGGAGTACCTGTGTTCTTCCACAAAGCTTTCTTCGTGAGGTCAGCTGCACTGAGCTGTCCCTTTCATGTCCATGACATGTGCACAGTTGTGCCCCGTGTGGCTAGTTTGCGGAGGGTCGGCTACCACCAGATGTTGTGCAAAGAACTTCATAACCTTCAGTCCGACTTGCAACACAGAGGGTTGCCACAGGGTCTCCCAGGCCTCCTTCCCAATGGCTGCCCCTTCTAATTATACAGCAGGTAGGGTCCCCAACATCAGCCCCTTCTTGTCACAGGCTGCCAGAGGCTCACTGTGCATGCCCCCAGGCATGGATGGCATATAATTAACTTTGCTGTAGGGGGTTATTATAATCCTCCTAGCAATCCTGCCCCAGTTTTCTTCCTACTGCGCAGGGTTCTTGGCCCACACCCCTCTTTCCCCAGTCTCATTATTATTCTAGTGACCAACAGGCAGCCTGAAGCTCTCTCAGAATTCTTCCTGACCCTGCCCAGTCTACTAAGATTGTAAGCTAAGCATGAGAACTCCTCTTTTATACTTCTTTGTCTTTTTTTTTTTTTACACTGTGGGATTTGAACTCAGGGCCTCACATTTGCTAGGCAAGTGCTCTATCACTTGAGCCACTCCACCAGCCCTTTTTTGTGTCGGGTATTTTTAAGATAGGGCACTTGGCTAT